GGGCGTCGCACACGTACACCCCCTGGTCCGCGCGCTCGCAGCGGTAGATGACCAGGCCGCGGCGGGTGCCCTGGGCCACCACGCCCACCGCCTTGCCCACCGGCAGCTCCACACCGTCCTGGGCAGGGCAGGGGCCAGTCAGAGGCAGCCCCGGGCGCCCCCCCACCCCAGTGCCAGGGGAGGGGCTCGGCGGGCACCTTCAGCCAGCGCACTTCCACGTCGCGAGAGAGCTCACACTCCAGGGTCACCTTGTCCTTCTCCGTGGCCACCACGTCCTGCAGCGGGCGCGTGAACCTCGCAGGCAGCTCTGCGGAGGAAAAAGGCTCAACGGCTCAGGGCGGGGGCACGGCGGCCAGCTCCCTGCCGCGCCACCCCCACCCTGCGCCACGCACCAGTGACCACCAGCTGCGCCGCGGTGTGTACGCCCTCGGCCTTGAAGGCCACGAGACCCCCATCCTGTGGCCGCAGCGCCGAGAGCGTGAGCGTGTGGGTGGGGCCGCTCGCGGCCAGGCGGCACGTGGGCCCTGGCTGCAGCCGCAGACCGTCGCGCGTCCAGCTGCCCTCCACGTCCGCGTGGGACAGCTGCACCTGCATGGTCGCCGTGCCCTGCTCCCGCACCTCCAGCGCCTGCAGGCCCCGCACCACGCGCACCTGACGCACTGAAGGACAGGAGAGTCAGCGCCCCGCGGGGACCCCCGTCCTCGCCACCCCTCACCCCCACCGCACCCCCGCCCCCCTCCAGGCTCACCTTCCACCGAGAGCTTGGCCTGTGTCTTGTCGTCGGGCGTTGCACAGCCGTAGAAGCCACGGTCCTCGAAGCCCACGCAGTGGAGGACCAGGCGGTGGCGAGCACCCTCGGCGTGGATCTCCACGTTCCCCCCAGGCACCAGGGCCACGGCGTTCCGCGTCCACCCCACTTCAGGCCAGGGCCGCGTCAGCTCCACCTCCAGGCTGACGGGGCTCCGCTCCTCCACCGTCTGAGGCTCCAGCCTCTTCTTGAACAGCACCGGGGCCTCTGGGCAGAGGAAGGGCAGGTGGTCCCGGCGGCGCCCCTCGGAAGCCACACGGAGGGGCCACCTGGGTGCCCTCGTCCCCGACCACTGAGGGCGCCACGGCTGCCGGTCCTGCAGCAGGCAGCAGGGCCTTGGCCTGCCCGGCCAGCCCCACACCAGCACCGACGGTGGGAGGAATCCAGGGGCCACGCCTGTCCCTGCCGTGGCAACAGGCCCCCACCCCACCTCTGCTGCGCCTGTCACCCCACTTTTAAAAAGCCGTGGCCCCTCAGACGCTGAAGAGCCAGAAACCAGCACGAGGCGGGTCCCAGTGGGGTCTCTGAAAGTACTGGAACCCCTCACCCCTTCCTCACCAA